TGTTGGAGAAGACTCCTGAGAGTCCCTTGGACTGCAAGGAGATCCAACCAGTCCATCCTAAAGGAAATCAGTATTGAATATTCATTGGAAGGACTGATGTTGAAGCTGAAACTCCAATACTCTGGCCACCTGATGCAAAGAACTGACTCACTGAAAAAGACCCTGATGCTGGGAAAGACTGAGACAGGAGGAGAAGGGGACAACAGAGGATAAGATGGTTGGATGGCATCACCGACTCAATGGACATGAGCTTGAGCAAGTTCCGGGAGTTGGTGAACGACAGGGAAGCCTGGTGTGCTGCAGTCTATGGGGTTGCAGGGTCGGACAGGACTGAGAGACTGAACTGAACTGAAAAGCTCCATGCCCTGCTGGAGTGGCAGCCCCCTTTCTGTTTCCTAGATCAGTGATATCCAAACTGTCGCCTGTGGAACTCTGTGAAAACTTCTCAAGTGCTACACGGACATCTTCAACATTTTTAGGTGCTTTTGTCTAAAACCAATTTTCCTGAGAATGTGCCTGCATTTATATCAGACGTTCTCTCATTTCATAAACTTTGCTGTTGCTGTTGTTTAATCACTAAGTCATGTCCAACTCTTTGTGAGCCCATGGACTGTAGCCCACCCGGCTTCTCTGTCCTTGGGATTTCCCAGGCAAGAACAGTGGAGTGGCTTGCTACTTCCTTCTCCATGGGATCTTCCTGACCCAGGGATTGACCCTGCGTCTCCTGCATTGGTAGGTGGATTCTTTAACACTGAGCTACTTGCTTTGCATGGAGTTGAAAATGGCAATAGAAAGATCCTACAAAATATTGATTTGGGGAAAAACTTTGGAGAAGTCTAGTTATCATCCACCACCACACAGAGTTACAACTCAGTTTTTCCCCTGGGATGAGAACTTTTAAGATCGACTCTCTTGGCAACTTTGTTTTTTTTTTGGGCAACTTTCAAATATGGAATTCAGTATTATTAACTATAGCTATCATGCTGTACACTACATGTACACTAGGACTTGTTTATCTTATAACTGAAAGTTTGCACATTTTTGACTCCCTTCACCCATTTCATCCACCCTCTGACTTCCTGGAGAAAACTTTAATGGTCAATAAGGCAACTGAACCCACAGGTCTTTCTGGTCTTCCTTATAAGTATTTCTGATAAGAGAGAAGAAACAAGGATATTTTGACTTATCTTAAGACGTTTTGGATTCTATAAAGTATACCACAGCAATGCATATGTCTTTTTGAATTAAAGTTTTCATTTTCTTCAGAAAAATACTGAGGTGAAATTCCTGGATCATGCAGTAGTTTTATTTTCGCTTTTGAAGAAACTTCATACTGTTTTTCACAGTGGCTACACCAATTTACATTTCCACCATAAGTGCACAAGGATTATGCATCCTTGCCAACACTTGTTATCTGTTGTATTTTTTATAATAACCATTCTGACAGGTGTGAGGTGATATCTCATATGATATTGAACTCAACTACAGCTAATAATCTGTCTTACAAGATATATTTCATTTTATTTTTATAATTTTCCTCAAAATGCTTATTGATAATTATTTATTTGAATGGAAAAATGAAGTAAAAATTTTTTTATGACAGAAAGTAAGCATAATTTCCCTGATTCATCTGACAATAGGATTTGGATAACTAGGCTACATGATGATCTTCTTCTATAAAAATCTGCTGTTCTCAGAGTTGGAGAAAACTATATGTAAGCATGGATGAGATAAAAGTACTTTATAAGAAAATTGTATTAGTAAATCTATACTCAATTTAAAACACTGAAAAGTTCCCAGTTCTTTTTTACTATATATGATTAAACAAAATGCCTTTAAGTGACAAAATAACAGATAAAAATAGCAGTTATATAATATGTTTTGGTATATTTTAATAAATGTGAAAAAATTCTTTTCACAAGTCAGGTGGTTTCCAATATTTTGCTTTCAATAAAACCCTTGAAAGCATCATAGAATCTGTCAGCAATTCATCAAAAGTAATATTGGATAATAGACAACTATAATTCATATAGCATAAAATTTACCATTTTAAAGTGTACAATTCAGTGATTTTTAGAATATCCACAAATTTGTGCAATCACTATGATAATTAATTTTAAAACATTTTTATTATCTGAAAAAGAAATCTTGAACATTCCTTAGCCATCAAAATTGGTTCCCCTTCCTTCTTTTCCCCCGTGTTCCCCCACGCTACTAGCAATTACTAATCAACTTTCTGGGTCTGTAGACTTGCCTATTCTGGGCATTTCATATAATGAGAATCTTACAATATTTAATGACTACTTAACAACACGCCTCCTGATGTGCCAGGTACTATTCTAAAAGGAATACAATGATGAGCAAGCAGACAGTTCTTTTCTTTCCTAGGGTTTCTCTTCTAGAAGAGGAAGACTGAAAAACCAGTAAGAAACGCATGATTATTTTGGGCAGAAGTAAGTACTGTGAAGAAAATAAACCCAGGTGATATGCCCGTGAGTGCTATGAAGAGGCAGGGTTCATTTGGGAGTGTAAGACTGTTTAAGGAGCTAACATTGGAGCTGAAGCCTCAGTGCTGAGAAGAAGGTAGCTGAAAGGTGAACACCACTGGTGCAAAGGCCACCAGGAAGAAGGAGGTTGGTGTTTCTGGGGACTTCCAAACCAGGGCTTGGAAAATACTGAGCAGAAGAGGTGAGCTTGCAGTCATTTCATCGTAAGTGCAATGGTAAGGCATTGATGAGTTTGAAGAAGAGGAGGAACTGACCTGGTTTATATTTTAAAACAAAATCCTTCTGGCTACCGTGATCAAAATGGATTGTATGGGTTCAAAAGAAGAGACAGAGAAAGAAGTTAGACTACATGTGGCAGTAAAGGCCAGAGGTTATGGTGACCTAGGGTGGAGAGGATATAAATGGGGAGATTCAAGATACATTTTGGATGTGGAGCTGATAGTTGTTAATGGTCTGGACAGAACTGTGAGAAAAAGAAAAGGATTAAGGATGACTCCTAGGAGCTTAGTTTTGAACAATTTGCATGAAAGATGCAGTAGATTTAAAGCTACTGTTGGGAATGTTTGGAACACATATTAAACAGTTAAGTGACAACGTAGAGTAGCATTAGATATGTGAGTTCAGAAATGTGGTCGGGGTAGAGATTATTACTGGAGTCAGGAGCATATGGATGGTATTTAAAACCATTGCGGCAGGCTGAATAATGTCCCTTAAATATGTCCATGTCCTAATTCCTGGAAACTTAAACAGCCTATTGTGTATGAACGCACTTAAAAATCTGTCATCTGTGGGACTTCTCTGGTAGTCCAGTGAGGAAGACTGCACTCCAATGCAGGGGGTCTGGCTCTGACCCCTGTTCGGGGAACTAGATCCCACAGGTCGCAACTAAAAACGTACCTCGTGCCACAACTAAAACCCTATGCAGCCAAATAAATAAAAATAAATATTAAAATAATCTGTCATTTGTAAGTCTAAAAACAACCAGCCAAGGCAGGTTTTATTATCCTACATTTAGTAGATGGTCAACTAGAGAAGTGGAATGCCTTGTTCTAGGTTGCAAAGCTGGAAAATACCTCAGCCTCCCTTTCAAGTGCCTTACAGAATTTCTATGAAGATGGGAGGTGGTAAAGAGACAGACGACCTATCATCTTGGCTGTGCCAAAACTTGCCCTATAAGACAGGCATTTCTACAAGGCTCATCCCATTCTTTGTCCAGCGTGTTGTTTTTCTCCCGTCCAGAGTCCTTGCCAGCCCATGCACACCACATGGACCAAGACCATTCCTCAGCCAGATTGGTAACTGTGGGGGGGCTAATGGGATTATCACATAACCAATGACCCCACAAAGCCAGGCCCTATGCCAAGCAACTGACATTCATTCAGTCATCACAATAACTCTATCCGTGGTCTCCAGGGCAAGCTAGAAAGGAAGGATTACTGGGGAATGGGAAGAAGGACCTAGGAGCACGAGTGCCTGAGTTCAATCTGGGAGTGCTACAGCCCTAACTTGAAACTACAGTTTAACTGTGGGCTAGTAACTTGGCCATCTAAGAAAACGAGAAGGTTAACAACACAGGTCATCTCTAAGCTCCCTCGAAGATGCTTGCATGAGATCTTTTCTTTCCCCACTGCGGGCGCTCCACTATTACGGGCAGTGGCAGAAATGCAGCGACAGTCCGCTCCACCGAGGGCTGCCCTTTAGTTCTCTTAGAGAACGGTGCAGGCGGCGACTCGGAAGCCACCAGTTCCTCAGGCCAGGAACGATTAGTAGGCGATGGGTCATCTCAGGACAAGGGAAAAGAAGCTCTGAAGAACTACTACTCCCAGGAGTCCACGGGGTACCACTCGGCGGCCCGGGGCAGAGGCGTGTCGGGAGCAGCTAATCAGGCTCGGTGGTCAGGCACCCCCAGTGCCGGAGAGGGATAGATAACTCGTGCGCATGCCCAATCTCGCGCCAACACGTTCAGCTTCTTTCCTTCCTGCGGGATTCTTTTCTTTCCGGCCTCGCCCAGGCTAGTTTTTCCCCGCCCCACCAACGCCCCCTTTTCAGGGATTTTGCGGTGGGCGGGACACCGCAAGCGCGTTCCCAGGAGTGTGTACGCGCGCGTTCACGGGAGATGAAAGAGGGAGGGCACTAAACACTGGGTGTGGAAGGTGACCAGGGGACCAAGGGTGACGGAAGACGCATGCGCCCTAGAGGCGGTGCGGCGAGGCTACTGGAATGGCGGAGAAGCGGGGCGGAAACGGCTCTAGTGAACTGGCGGCGCACGCGCATTCGGCCGCCAGCGCCCCGCCCACTTTGTCAGTTTCCCCTCCTCCTCCTCCTCCTCCTCCTCCACCACCCTCCTCCTCCACCACCCTCCCGGAAGTGCAGCCGCCCTCGCGCCCACCAGCGGCCACCCCCTGCGGCAGGCCCCGCCCCTGTTGGCCCCGCCCCCCGACTCTCCGCCCCCTCCCTCCGGTGGTGGCGCCGGGTTGCAGCGCCGGTCGTGGCGGTTTCGTTGCCCGAAGCCGGGAGCGCGGAGTCGTTCCCGGGGGAGGCGGCCAGGCTATGATCGCGGGTCCCCGGCGGCCCGCTCCGGCCAAAGAGAGTCTCTGTCTCAGCTGGTGCCCGCGCTCGAACGGTCGTCTCAGCCCAACCCCGCGGCGCAGTTGGCGGCGGCGCCCCCGGCGCGCCCCCTCCTCCGATGGCGGCAGAGATCCAGCCCAAGCCGCTGACCCGCAAGCCGATCCTGCTGCAGCGGGTCGAGGGCTCTCAGGAGGTGGTGAACATGGCCGTGATCGTGCCCAAGGAGGAGGGTGTCATCAGCGTCTCGGAGGACAGGTGAGAACCGCTGCCCCCTCGGCCGCGAGCAGGGGCGGGACGGGCCCGCTGTCTCCGAAGCCCGCTTCTGGGGCCGTGCCTCCAAGTCGGCGCGAGGGCGAGAGCTCTCGCCGAAGTTTTTATTCTAATGCGCATCCTGCTGGTGCCGGTGTCCAGCCGCGCAGTCGCCGCCGCTGCGTGGCTCCCGGACGCGGAGCCGGGACAGCGGCGTTCTGTTGGGGCTTGCCCGGGTGGCGTCCGCAGGGGCCAGGGTGGCTCTTGGACTAACGGTGCGCCGGCCACTGGACCTTGGTCCAGCCCTGAGGACAGTGGAGGGAGAGGGAGGCGCTGCTCGGCCCTGCAGGTGTGTGCGTGGGGAGGATGCTCAGAGCTCTTCTGTAAGATAACTAAGGGGTTTTGAGAACTCTGGTACAGTTCTGAAGGCTCCAGACTGAGGAAAGCAAATGCCACTCCCTTCGCTCAGACGTTCTCACCGAATCCAGATCTCCCAGACGTCTTCCACTGAATTCAATAAATATTGCAAGTTGTGAAGAGTATCTGGGCTTCTGCCTAGAAGGGGAGCTGACTTCTCTCCTTTGCCCTCCTTAAGCTTAAGGGGAAGCTCCTAGAACTTTGGAGGGACCACAAATAGCTGCAAATAGCTCTGGAGTTCCTTCCCTTTGCTTGCTTCCTTTCCTTTTTTTGCCTAATTTTGCTTAATTTGCAGAAGTAGAGCCAGTTGTTCTGCCGGTAGTATTCTCCCTTGTTTTTCAGACAGTGCGTTTTTTTGTTTGTTTGTTTTAACTTAATGTCCTTTAATATGCAAAGATTATGCAGATGAAGCTTATTTCCAGAGAAATGAAGCTTGAATATAGTACTAATCGTTTTGATCTGGAATTGTTGCTTTTATAGTATCAATTCGTATTCTACAAAATGTCATATTGTAGAGGTATATGACAAGGAGTTTTAGCCTTTAAATGGTAGATAGGTTTTCTTAATGTAAGTTAACATTGTGCTGAGGTAAAAAGTACTTTTTCTTGGTGACTTGTAAAATTTCAGGCAAAGAAAGGTGAAGCAACAATGTGTTCATACCGTCTTTGTAGTTATTTCAGTGCTTTGCATGCAGTGTGGTCTCAAAAAATGTGCCTGACAGGTCCATTCATATCATAGGTTCTTAAGTATAATTAGGATGACTACATATTAATGTCATATTTTTGTCTATGTCGTACTCCATAAGATGGCCAACTGGTGCCTGATTCACTTCCTATACAGAGCCAAGGGAAAATATTGTAAACATACACCAATGGCAAGCAGTCTGCTAAGAACAGAAGAAATTCATGGGCTGTAATGGAATATATGGATGTAGAACCCACTTGAAATTCACAGAGAAAGCTTATGAATGTTTAATTTTTCCACAGAGGCAAAATTCTGCTGAAGAGGTTGCTTCTGGACCTAGAAATTCTTTTTCACAGAATTGTGTTTTTTTAAAAAAGAATATATTGACAGACGTCACTTTCCCTGTCTTTAACTACTAGAGATGAAACTGCTCATTCTAACTGCTGTAGGAAATTCATAAGTAAGTTTGTTGAATCAAGTAGGAGAGGGAGAAAGGTAGTTAAAACCTAAGTGGCTTTAGTATTAGTTTTGGAACTTTCTGCTTTGGAAGTAGAAGTTAGTTTTCCTAGTTTTCTTTTTTTTAAGTGTTCAAAGGGATCTTAGAGTTTATTTGCTATAATACCTTCATTTTACGGTTGAGAAAATTTAAGCCAGAGAATTTACCTGCCCAAATTCATATACCTGGTGGTGAAACCAAGCTTGGCTCCTGGTTTCTGATTTCCATCTCACTGTTTATACTAAAGGAAACGACTTTAGTTGGGGGCACATTTTAGAGTATTTAGAGACTCTGAAGTAGCATATATGAAAGAAAATGAAGATAACATTTCGTTTGATTGTGGGACAAAATGACTGCAATGTTTAGCTATGTATTAACTTTACTCTTTCAGTTTACAATGTAAGTAATAGAAAATATTTTATAATGCAGTTAGTGTTAAAATAAGTAAGTCTAGGATTTTTCTTGATGTATTTTCTTATTCCTCAGGTCAGCAAGTCTGTGTTTCTGTAGGTCATATAGTCACACGTGATAAGAACTTTGTTAGAGCTCAGTTTCAATTATGGCTTCCATTAAAGGAGAATTGATCTGTATTCTTTCTTTTCAAAAGCTGGTGTCACTGTCACTTGATGTAATAATAAAGATATGAAGATAGAATATTGGATTTTCATCAAAACCTACCAAGCCATTTTCATTCACCACTTCAGCTAGCCTCTAGGAGTTTTCGTTCCTGAACTGTAAGGTTAAACCACAAAATAATGTCCTAGTCTCGAATGACAGTGTCTCATAAGTCCTTTTGAAACCTTGGTTTTCCTTTTTGACCTCTGATTCCTAATAGCCTTTATAATATCCTTGAAAGCAACATTTTCTATCTTTTTAAACAATGTTATTGGTGCTTGTTGTCCATTTATCTTCTCCATGAATTCCCTAAGGTGCTATGTATGTCTTACTCATTGTAATATCTTAGGGTCTAGTATGGTGGCCAGCACATAGTAGGCCCTCAGTGAACATATATTGATGCCTGATCTTTTTGTTGTTCCTGAAAGCACATCTTAATTATTGTAGACATTTCATTGATATTTGTTTGAATGAATTTTATGAAAACCAGTGAAAGTTCTGTGTGGACAAATGTTTGGAAAAGGATTGGACTGGATGGCCTTGAAAGATGCCTTAAGGCACTTCCCTGGTGATCCAGTGGTTAAGACTCTGAGCTTCCACTGTAGAGGGCACAGGTTTGATCTCTGCCTGGGGAAGATCCCGCATGCCACACAGACCAGCCCAAAGTTTTTTTAATAAATGAAAAAAAGGTGCCTTAAAATTTTGAAAGACCTTGCATTGTTCATTCATCACGTCAACAAACATTTAAATGCCTTTATTGTGTTCCATGCACATGTGCACACTTCATTGGTGAAAATGACAAGGTCCTTTCAAGGTACTCACAGTTTAGTGGGGCGTGGGTATGTGTATGGAATTTTAGAAGAAAATAAAACCACAGCATCCAAGATTTAGTTCTGAAAAGAGAATTTTTTTTTCCGTTTATTTTTATTAGTTGGAGGCTAATTACTTTACATCATTGCAGTGGTTTTTGTCATACATTGAAATGAATTAGCCATGGATTTACATGTATTCCCCATCCCGGTCCCCCCTCCCACCTCCCTCTCCACCCGATCCCTCTGGGTCTTCCCAGTGCACCAGGCCCGAGCACTTGTCTCATGCACCCAACCTGGGCTGGTGATCTGTTTCACCCTAGATAATATACATGTTTCAATGCTGTTCTCTTGAAACATCCCACCCTCGCCTTCTCCCAGAGTCCACAAGTCTGTTCTATACATCTGAGTCTCTTTTTCTGTTTTGCATATAGGGTTATCGTTACCATCTTTCTAAATTCCATATATATGTGTTAGTATACTGTAATGGTCTTTATCTTTCTGGCTTACTTCGCTCTGTATAATGGGCTCCAGTTTCATCCATCTCATTAGAACTGATTCAAATGAATTCTTTTTAATGGCTGAGTAATATTCCATGGTGTATATGTACCACAGCTTCCTCATCCATTCGTCTGCTGATGGGCATCTAGGTTGCTTCCATGTCCTGGCTATTATAAACAGTGCTGCGATGAACATTGGGGTGCACGTGTCTCTTTCAGATCTGGTTTCCTCGGTGTGTATGCCCAGAAGTGGGATTGCTGGGTCATATGGCAGTTCTATTTCCAGCTTTTTAAGAAATCTCCACACTGTTTTCCATAGTGGCTGTACTAATTTGCATTCCCACCAACAGTGTAAGAGGGTTCCCTTTTCTCCACACCCTCTCCAGCATTTATTGCTTGTAGACTTTTGGATAGCAGCCATCCTGACTGGCGTGTAATGGTACCTCATTGTGGTTTTGATTTGCATTTCTCTGATAATGAGTGATGTTGAGCATCTTTTCATGTGTTTGTTAGCCATCTGTATGTCTTCCTTGGAGAAATGTCTGTTGAGTTCTTTGGCCCATTTTTTGATTGGGTCATTTATTTTTCTGGAGTTGAGCTGGAGGAGTTGCTTGTATATTTTTGAGATTAATCCTTTGTCTGTTGCTTCGTTTGCTATTATTTTCTCCCAATCTGAGGGCTGTCTTTTCACCTTGCTTATAGTTTCCTTTGTTGTATATTTTTGAGATAATCCTTTGTCTGTTGCTTCGTTTGCTATTATTTTCTCCCAATCTGAGGGCTGTCTTTTCACCTTGCTTATAGTTTCCTTGAAAAGAGAATTTTTACATGAGGAATAGTAGCTGGGTTCTACAGCCCTTCTTGTTCCTTAAATTTTACTTACTTTGGAGGATTCTTTTGTTTGGGCTGCAATACCATTTTCACCCTAAGGCTGCTGTCCATCGTGGATTGATAATATTCTAATATTCAGGACCAAGAGTGGCTGAAAACCCTTATTCTTAGTTCATCTGAGCACAGTTAAAATAGCCTGCAACTTTACTTCATACCAAGGGAGAAAACATAAGGAAATTGGAGAAATATAAAAATGGGATTTCCCTGGTGGTCTGGTGGTTGAGACTTGGTACTTTCACTGCCGTGGCCTGTGATCAGTCCCTGGTGGGGAACTCCCACAAGCCGCGGCCAAAAAAAAAAAAAAGGAAGAAGAGATAAAAACAATCTGAATTACAAGTATAGATTTCTGCTATCATAAAATAGAGTTTGTTCTCAGAACTCACTGGCCTTATCTGAGCCTATCTTTGGTTTGGTTGTAGTTAGATTCTATCTTCAAAGGATATGGCCAACTTGGGTCCGTTGGGCTCCTCATTTCCCAGCTTCTGTCTGGACTGTCTTTTCTGAGTGAATGGCATTTTAACATGCTTTGCTTAGGAGTTTCCTCCCAGACATTTTGCCTGTATTTTGGTGAAGACCACTCTCTAGCTTGCAGCTTAC